GTGCCTAACACGCTGCGGTAGAGGTGCTAATCATGACCACTAAATACAAAAGAAGCGGAAAGCATCCGTAATCCATTCATCTTTAGAGAGAAAAAAAGATGACACTGTACTGCAATTAAAATCTGAACAGTTGGAGGAATAAAGGGAAAATTCAAGGCAGGCCTGTAGAAAGAGAAGAGGAAAGAAAAGAAAACAAAAAATCCTAAAAAAAATTTCAAACCCACAGGAAATATCTGATGCACTAGTCTTATTAATAGCATAAAAGTTGCTGGCAGATATTATCACCTAGCATTTTATTAATTAACTGGAGATACATGGGTACAAGGGGCTTGAAAGTACGAAAACCAAACGTGCTGCACAGACCAGCTCTTTGCAAAGAACACAGCGTGCTGTGTACAAGGATACAGTGTCTTAATTCGCCAGCAGCACTTTTTGAGTCAAAAAAAAATCTCTAGTCAAACCAACTGCAGAGTCCCCACTACCACTCATTCACTTTTTATTTGCACAGGTCTATGACTTCCCACACAATGCTTAAAAGCAACTCAACTGAAATGTTTTATAAAAAGAAAAGACCATAAAACCTACGGCATGTGAGTTTCTAGGCAAGTGAATCACAAACTTTTGCAAAAATGGGTTTTCAAGATATCAACCTGGATTTCTAATTTAGTTTAATTTTTAACCCACTAATGCATTATTCCCAAACACTATTTCTTCATGTAGAAGCATTTAAATAATTTTATTTCCACTCACAAAAGGCTCTATGCACCTAACAAATAAACCAGTGTTGACACACCTAAGCCCAGGGATTTATTGCACATTGGAGATTCTCTCTTCTGGAGACTTGTTGACAAATACTCAAACAGGCTCTGTGTCTTTGGCAAGATCCATGTCTTACATTTTTTTTCCCCCCTCTGTGTCATCAGTTATACAACCAGGTAGTACAGTAATTCAGTGAAAGGAGAGAATACCGAAAAAGAAGGTTTCCACCTCTTTTATTGCCAGGACTTATACATCGCTGTTACACACCATTTTCTGTAATTTCCTTAAGAAAATACTGTAATTCAGAAAAATACCAAGCAACTGCAATAGGTCATCATTTTAAATTGTAAATAATGGTTGAATTTGTTCTCATTTTTACTTTCAAAGCACCCTGTTGTAATACGACATTGCCTGCAATGTCCAGTTAAAGGATTTACTTCAATCCAAAGGATTGTTCAAATAATGAGACAAGAATTAGAATTTTGGAAGCTTTTAGAAAGAAATTGGCATTCATAGACTGTGGGAAGCTCTGCAAATCTTGTGTATTTATAGATGTTTTCTTCTAGATGGAGAAGAGCAAATATATTATAACAAACAATTTATTCAACACATGTTGCTGTTTGTTCTTTTCCAGAATGTGAAAGTCATCAGAAATTCACAAACAAATCTGTTAATTATTTGAATAAATCCAATTAAATGCATTCTGCAATTCATTGTTCCAACCACTCTGCTTTGCAAGGAAGAGACCAGACTGTACAGGATACACTTGGTTTTTTTCATTAGAAGCAATCAGTCTTGAGTCAGCAAAGTTCAACATTTATTTTCTGTTTCAATGGGACTACTCCTAAAAGTTAAGCATGTGCTAAAAAGATTTTTTTTCATAAGAAGGCAGCTTCAGTACGTTAAGTACATGCTGGCCCCACTAATGAATCACTGTTGTAGCAAGGTCTCTTGTCCAATAGCTTCAAGATAAAAAAACGCACCACTTCTTTCCCACTACTGAAGAAGCCTTTTCTCTCTGCTAAAGAATGCCTTGCAGAACAAAGAACATCGAAGGCTGCAGGTGCAGTCAGACAAATCACATCTAACGAATATTTAGGGGAAACACACTATTAGCATTTGCCCAGTGTTAACTGCAGCAGTGTATGAACCCTTCACACAAACAGTATGAATGTTACAAAATTCATGGATTTTAGAGTAGTTGAGTCCTACAATTAAAAAAAATGTCTGCAGCTACTTACCTAGTCCATGTCAGTGAAACAAGATGCAACTTTCAGAGTAATCAGTTTCTTACAGTGATACTAGAATCTCAAGGCAGGGTAGGGTGGAAATCAGGTCTCAGGATCCTTTTAGTTTTTTTTGCTGAAAATGTTCTTGGTGGCAAGTTTTTTAAGAATGCTCCCTTCTGCTTTTCATTCCATAGCAGGTATGACAAAGATCCTGAGTTTTAGTATTTTTGCTTTCACTACAGAAGTATTTTCATTGTGGAAGTATAATACAGCTTTACATTCTCTTCCCCGTGCCCTCTTAATCATGGGGGACTAGCTGGGTACTTAAACATTTATTGGAGGAATGGCCTGATGTTCTACAGCAATAGACAGCATAAGCAGGGCCTCCAAAAATT